TAGGGGCTGCCTGGGGCACACTGTCCAGGGGGGAAGGACAGAGCTTTGGAACCAGATTGACTCCTCCAAAACCCTCCCTCTGCTGTTCTGTGCCTTTGGAAAAAATGACTTAAACTGTCTGAGCTTTGATGTCTCATCTCCTTCCTAAAAGCTGCAATGCTCCCGTGACGGATTACTGGGAGGATGGGGAAGGAAATCCTTGTTACACGCCTGGAAACTGACTGGTGGTTTCCAGCAAATGCTAACTTATCTTTTGGAAACTGGAGCTCTGCACGTGTCTTCTCTTGTGTTCACGTCTTCAACATACCCATGAGTCTCATGGCTCTGAGAGAGGCCAGAGGGAGTCCAAACATAAATTGGGAGAAGAGGGGTTCACTAGATGACGGTTGTGGAGCCAGACTGTTTGAAACTTGTGCTATTTTAAGATTGCTTTACCTCCGTAATTAAAAATGAACTTTCTTCCCCGCGTACAGCATCAGTGGGTTTGAAGAATCACTGAAAACTACAGAAGAGAATTTCTTTCTATGTTAAAACAGTTGGTCTAGTGTTTATTTTCTGGCATTTATATTTTTTAAAATGCCAACCCATTACTAAAAATAGTGATTTATGTTTCTGTTTAGTGTGTTAGCAAATGAGTATGGGTGTGAGAGGCAGAAGTTTTTTAGGCAAACTGAGTGGGTATCTGCATTTACATGTTCCACAGGCCTCTCTCCAGTGTATACTCATGAAACTGTAACTACATACGTGTGTGTGTGTGTGTGCGCGCGCGCGCTTTGATCTCTGTGTATATAATGCACTGATTTTACTCTCTATGCATAACTATGTATAATTTATAAAAGAAGCACAGCAAGAGATTAAATGTAGCAAAAACAATAAAACATCAAAGGCTGATATTGGTGTTCAATCCTGTCTCCACGAATCCTCAGAGGCAAAAGCTCCTAGTTCCTGTCTCCTCCTCCTCCTCATATTCCTTTCTCCACCCAGCCATGTCTTCCTGTCTCTACCTCCCTAGTGCTGGGATTAAAGGCGTGTGATCCCAAGTGCTGAGTTCACCTTTGTGTGAACTGTTTCTTTTAGGATTGGATCTATTTTATGTAGTCAGTGTGGCCTTGAACTAAAAGAAATCCATCTACCTCTTAATCCTGAGTCACCACTGCCAAGCTTCTATAGCTAACTAGTATGGCTGCTTAGCTACTTTGGTCTCCTGCGGCTGAAATAAAGCATAAACAGTATAGCAACATAATTAAAACCACGACTTACTATAGATTCAGTAGCCTCAACATTCAATCCCTTTTTGAGCCATGAACGTTCACCGTTTCACTTAAATAAAGTAGATGTTTCTAAGTTTATCATTCACAGTCTAAGGCATATATAGAATGCATGATAATCACTGTAACTACGCCCTCTCTTTCCTTCTTCCCATTCCAACAATCCATCAGTCCTCCTTATAAATCCCTTGGCCACATTCATGCCCTTCTGTTTTGTTTTGTGATCCACTGCATTAAGCATGGCCATCTATGGCGACCAAGGGTCTTAGAAGGAGAGCAACATAGGTCCTTTAGTGCTGAACATCCAGCCATCAATAACTTGGGCTTTGCTGGGAGCCGTGAACCATCTGCATTCACGCTGTTTAATGAAAAGAGATGACCCTGACCGAGACTTTAACCTCTTCTTACTTTATTTGGTTTTCCCATGTTTGGTTGTTGTTTCTTAGAAGCCCGCACCTCTCTGGAAAGAAACAGAGAGGGAGAGGGTCTTTGGGAGAGCGGACAAGGTGGGTTCTGGGAAGAGTGGAGGGAGGAGAAACTATAGACAGGATGTAGTTTTTGAGAGATGAATCTAATTTCAACACAAAAAGAAAGAAAGAAAAGATAAAATAATAGACCATAAGATATGGGATTTGTAGTAATTACAGTTTTGTTTTGCTATCCCAATAAAGCAGGGGGAAAGGAATCGTTCAGAAAGCGGTGATTCCGTGGCCAAAAGTCATCAAGTATTCTTTATTTAAGGGAAAGAAAGGAAAGGTAAAGGAATCCTAAGACGGACAGGGTTATGGGAGGAAACGAATGTGCAAAATAAGGAGAAAGAAAGAACTCATATGGACTTTGATTCTCGGAAGTCAGTAGGTGCCCCGCCCCCAACAGTGAAGCTAAGGGAGGAGAGGAACAGAAAGAAAAAGGCTGAAGTGAACAGTTTGAGTAATTGCAGAACTGAAGGAAAAGCTGTCCTGAGGGCATCAAAAGCATCAGTTAGTTTAGCACCGTGCTAAGGGAAAACCGTTTCTGAAATGAAACCGCGAGGGTTCCAATCACAGCTCCATCTCTTGCCAACAGAGACAAAATGGGAATAAGGAACCTCAGCCAGTACAGGACACCAAGCAGATACTTCATGAGGTCTTGTTGTCGATGATGTCGATTTCCATGATCGATACCCTACTCCACAGAAAATGCTTCTGATTGTTCCCATGTTGTGTTAATAAAAATAGAGTAATTGGATTCCGTTTTCAAATATGTGATCATGACCAAATTGACAGGATAAAACCGGATTTTAGATAAGCCAAGTCAATTGCATTATTTTTAAACAGTATTAAAAAGGTCATATGCTAAAAAGAACACAAATTAGTAACCTAATTAAATCACTCACAGAGTGACAGATCCAGTTAAGAGCAGTCAGTTTGTTATTACAGACCAATTATTAGAGTGAAATACTGCAAGATGTTATGTATCATTACAAGATTCTAAACATTTCATTTTACACAGGCAGAAAAGTACAGATTAATCAGTTTGTTGATAAGTTAAAAGCTCCTTTATTAAAATATTTATATCAGTTGTATAAAGGGGAACACCATCGCTGAGGCTCTAAAACTGACTCTGGGGCACACTGAACTAACTACATGCCTTTAGAATGTAGTCGTAAAAGCGCTCACACTAAAGCAGGTTCCATGTTACAGTATGTAATTTTGATATTAATATTTTTATCTTGATATTCCACCCATGTTTCAAGCAAAATGATCATAGCCCAGCACAAATTATTTACTTACATTTTGTAATGAATGAACATAAATGTTTACAAAATGTTTTATGAAGTTACTAGAATTTTCAAAGGACCAATGAACATTGTTTCATGTTCTTTTCCACTTAAGCTCCTGGTCTTCCGTAAGCCTATGAAAATCTTTATGGGATTCCAAACACTGTACTACTAGAACAGGATCACTTAAATATTTTTCAGCTTCTTGACTAAATAGACATTAAATGATATCAGTTGAAATGTTAGTGAAGGGTCAGATTGGAAATAAAGGAGTTTACAGTATATGGGATGTTGTAGAAGGAACATAGGACAAGAAACATTGTAAAAGGACAGAGATTCAGAATGGGAAAAGAATAAGCTATTGAAAGCAATTTCTAAACTCTAGTCTTTTTTCTTTTAATTTTTTTTTATTTTAAAGTTTTTTCATATATATTTTCATCATATTATTTTCCTTCTCCCTCTCCTTTTAGATCTTCCCCCACCTCTACTCATGCAAGTACATGTTCTTTCTAAACAAATAAAAACAGAAAACAGGTATCAAATCAGACAAATAAAACCAATTAAAAAATACCACCTTCCCCACTGAAAGTGCATAAAAAAATATGAAGTCCATTTGGGGGCCTGCCCTGGAGTGCGGTTAATATGTTCAGGGAACCTCTATTAGAGAAAATGGATTTTCCCTTTCCCAACATTAATGTATCAAGTATCAATGTCAGGTAGCTTCTTGGTTTTGGGTGGGAACTGTGTCCACTTTTCCCTTCTCCCTACATGTGTCTTGTTTGAATAAGTTCAAGTGTTGTGTGTCCATAGGTTCATATATGTACTAGTCCTATGTGTCTTTCATTCCACTCTTAGAATCATCTACCACCTCCTACTCTTAAAAAAAAAAAATCTTTCCTTCTCTTCTCTCACATAGATCCCTTAACCTTAAGGTGTGGCTGTGGGCATGCTGATGGAGAGATACCATTTAGGGCTGAGTTTTCGAAAGTCTCTCATTCTCTGCATGTTATGCAGTTATTAAGTCTCTTCATGAATTACCATATAATGAAAGGCGCTTCTCTGATGAGGGTTGAGTGATACCCTGATCTGCAGCTATGCCATCACGTCATTAGGAGTAATTTTATTGCTATGTTCCCTAAGCAGAATAATCACAGTAGGTTTTCCCCTAGGGCCAATGACCTATCTAGTTTCAGGTTCCTGACCATTTTAGCAATGTCATTTATGGATTCCATCTCATGGAATGGGCCTTAAATCCAATTTAAAAGGGGGCATTGATTAGTCCCATTGCATTTGTGCCACTATTGCAAGAGTGTTATCATGTAGGTTGGTCACTGTTGTAAGCCACAGTGATTGTAGCTGAGTAACATTTATCATTACTTTTCTCCTCTGGTAGTATGCAACCATTTCTCTGTTCAAGTCAAGAGAAAGGGAGAGTGCAGTTGCATGAACATCAACATTCATGTTTGAAGTTAAGGTTAGCAAGACAGAAGGTTGGTACCATTCCTGCCCTGGTGCCCAATAAAGACGTGAATTTACTAATGATAGACTCATTCTTTAAATTTCTCTTAAAGTGTAAGAGGCTTTCTTTAGTCTCTCCCATCAGCTGTCACATACTAGGTTTTTCTTTTGTATACTTAATAAGGAAGTGAATGCTCATAAGTGTCATTATCATCACATATAGGCAGCCTCAGTCAATCACAGGGTGAAAATCTAAATAAGTTGTTTGTGCTTTCATGATGTTCTGTTTCGCTGCATTTGCTGTGTTTTGCTGACCACCAGGATTTAAATACCAGCTTATCCTTCCCTGATCTAATTTCTCCAATCACTGCTTACTAGAATGTCAAGCATGCTAGTCTTGTAAGCACCTCCTGGTACTCATTTCCTATGGCATCTGTACTTGCGGTTGGTTCCCTTACGTTAGTTATGTCCCAGAAAAGGGCATGCTTACTCATTACACTGATGTCTTTTTACAGAAACTGCCTCTTTGGGAGCCAGGACCGGTGAGGACGAACTTACAGAACAGCAGTTGAGGGCAACCTCAGGTAATTATATCTATGCCTCTCATGAGTTAACCTTGTTATAAATAAGCTGCACATGCATGATTAAAAGTAGTCAATATTTAGAGACCCTTTAGTAGTTTCAGGTTCTCAGAAAAAGCTGAAAGGTGTGGATTTTGCACAACATTGTTATATCATTTTTATACCATTGTTACCGTCCCCCAGTATGGGTAAGGCATAAGGGGCCCCTTCTGCGAAATAATATCTCTGTGCAAATAAAGATGAAAAAATACTCAGAATCAGATAACTGGGGTAACGAATATGGAGTAGGTGATCTGTCGAACAGAGCTGCTTAACATAAATGCCATGTGTTCTACCTAGGATACTGTAAGAATAAAACTTCAGAGCTGACTGTTAGTTTGGTTTAGACACCAGTTGGGGTGCTCACCCCTGTGGGAGGCTTATCCCCCTTCTCCCAAGAGTTCTTTGTTTAGTCTTGGGAGCATGGAGATTTCCCCTTCGTGTTAGCATGTCTACTGTTGCTTGTCTGGGTTAGGCAGCCATATTGCTGAAGTATCGCGAGCACTTTCCTGTCATTTCTGGTTACACAGCCTCACAGAAGACTCTATGGTCCTCTGCCTCTCACAATCTTGCCATCCCCCTTCCTTTAATGTTTCTTGGGCCTTGGGGACAGGAGTTACATCACAGACTTATCTACTGGGGAAGGGCACCCCAAGATCAGTGTTCCTCTACATTTTGACCAGTTGTTGTTTTATAAAGCACTCCTGTAAGGAGTACGGTTTTTCCTACCGCCGCCTGGTCTTGTCCTGCCGCCGCGCCAGCCCCAAATAATACACAGAGACTCTGTATTTGATATTATACTGTTGGTCAGTTACTACTTTCTTATCGGCTAGCTCTGTCTTAAGTATTAACCCATTTGTGTTAATCTATGTATTTCCATGTGGTCTTCTTACCCGGAGCCGGCTGCCGCGTACTGCTCTCTCCAGACTCTCCATCTTGACTCCTCCTTACTACTTCCTATTTCCTCCTTGTCTCCTAGCCCCTCCTATCTTCCTTTCCTATTGACCAACAGTGCTTTATTATTAACCCGTATGAGAAACATATACAGAATGACATCTCCCATCACACTCCAAGTGATCATATGCATACGAGCAACACTACATGGACCCACCAGGCTCCATTTATATATTTATACATATTATATATAACAATAAAAATGGAAAGAAAGTAGGCCAGGAATTTGAGAAGGAGCAAGACAGAAGATGGTTGGAGGGAGGGAAGGGGAGTTTAGGGTGAATTGATGCAATTATATTTTAATTAAAATATTTACCTAGTAAGTTAGCATCTCAGGTAAATAAATTTAATATATTCAATAAAAAAAAAGAATCGAAATTCTTGGACCTTACTCCAGACCTACAAATCAGAAGCACTGTGCATGGAATCTGGCAGATGACAGTGGAGGTCTCAGGACCCTATCATCTGAGCAAAATGGGAGGTACTCCTTTAGAAGCAGTGGTGAAACTTCAGGGAGGAAGTAGATTATGATATTAAGTCCTGAATATTGAAAACTAGAAGCTCTTAAACAAACAAACAAATTGGGAGAATACTTTCCCATGAAGATGGGAAAATTTTGGCTTCATGACAAGAAGCTAAATAAGGCGAACACAGGGGAAGCTTAATGAGGGAGGAGACAGAAGTGTAAGGTAAATCCCAAAGTATGCATAATCTATTCAGCGGAGTCATAGTGTATTAGCTTAAGTAAAATAGTAAAATGCAAAAGCTCAAGCAATAAAAGAGATCAACTTTATTTAGAATTTAGTATTCACTAAATGTGAGTAGAAACAGAGTTTGCTGATGAGTAGGATGAGGATGTGTGTGTGTGTGTGTGTGTGAGAGAGAGAGAGAGAGAGAGAGAGAAAACAAATATCATTTGTGGTTGATGCTCTCACATTGCAAACTGCATTGGTGAACATGTAGCAAATTGGAGTAAGGTTGGATAAGCATGATGATGAGTCTGGATCTGGCACATTAAGTTCGATACACACACACACACACACACACACACATATATATATAAACAAACATGATATATATATAATTTTACACATCTGTGTAGAGTGGGGTAATTTAATACCACGTGTTTTAAGAGACGATATGCATAGAGAAGATGGCTGGAGGTATTGTTAGTATTCAGGCATCTGTGCTGGCCTGCCCTTGGGGTTCTTGACTGGAAGCGTCCTCAGCTGCAGCCACTAAGAGCATCACTGTGCACATTCACTACGTTCCCTTTAAAAAAAAAAAGAAAAGGGCCCTGTTCACCTACTCACTCACTCTCTCTCTCTTCCTCTTTCTTCCTCTCTCTCTCTCTCCTTCTCCCCCAGTCAAACAAGCAAGCAAACCTCTGCTGAAACCTGTCATATGGTGTCTCTCTCTTACCTGCTTTTCTTAAATCACAACAGGTATTCCAGTATTTAGAGGTTGTATAGTAGCAGAGGTGCTAACGTAGGGCAATGAGGCAGAGCTTTCAGAGAGGTACACCATAGCCCCAAAGAGTGAAGCCCAAGACAAGGAAAATCAACGTCTGCTGAACAAGAAGTGAGCTGTGTTTTCACTGGTGACTTCGAGAAGGGTGTTTGATGTGAATAGAAGCCAAGCTTCTAATTTTTGGTATTTTTTCTTTAAAAAAAAATGAAAGATATGTAATAAATGTGACTCAGCAGAAAATTAAAAAAAAAAAAAACAAAAATTGAGAACACATTACTAAAGCAAAATCCATTTTAAATTGTATTGAGGGGAAACAGAAGGACTGGGTGATGTCTGAGCTTCTCTTTTTCTTCCCACAATTTCTTTTCTAAAGTTAATTCAGCATATCTTGCTGTCTGCTACATTCCAGCTACTACTCCAAGTACTTTAAGCATACGCTTGCTTAAATATTTACACATATGTAAATATATATTATATATTGAAATCTCTACTCTCATAAAATATTTACCTGTTAGTGTAAATAGATAATATACAACCAATTTCGGCATACAATATTATTTAACATCAACACACACAGAAAGAAAACCACGAATCCACCCAGAAGCATTAACTTTCATTAGAATCTCAGGAAACATTTGTTGGAGAAGGAAACAATGAATAGTACTATGATAACAGGACACTCATTTTTAAATACATCGTTTCTGTGAGCATCACTTTTAATTGACTTCTACATATCAGTGTTTAAGAAGCCTATGAAATGGTTACTTTTAATTGATTTTTGTCCACATGTTGAAACTGATACTTTCTAAGTTGGACACAAAGGGAAGGGGGGAACTTATCCAGTGGGGGGTGGGGAATGTACTTGATTAGATAAGGATACACAAGAGGACATACAGGGGAGAAAGAGCCTGGATCAGGAGCGTCACTTAAATAGAACTTTATTACAGACACAGTCAGGGATCACTCAGGACTAAACTTGCTTAAATTAGGAACTTTACAGCTGGGTTCAACAACATCTTGCAGGTTCTTTTGATACCTGGAACTTTGAGAAGACAGTTTTCAAGCCGTTTAGTAAAGATCATTTAAAGAGAGAGGAATCTGGAACATAGATCAGGACCAGGTGTTGGGAAGGTGTCCTTGTTATACACAAAAGACTGAGAGTTTTCTCTGTAGGTGATGAAGGCCACAGGAGGTGGATGTTGAGTTGGGCAGTTGGATGCAGGCACATCAGGTAGAGAATAGGTTTCAAAGAGGAGAGCCTGGACAAGGAGGCCGTAGAGGAGTGGAGAAGTGAATTCTCACACAAGAATGTATCTAGGATGGAAAAGTCCACTATATCAAACTGAAGATGTTTGAGTTACCTACCATCTATCTCCTGCTTCTTCAATATGTAATGAATCTCACTCATGTGGAAGCTGAGTTGGTTTAACTTGTAAAAGTAGGTGGAGAGTGGTCATTAGGCTAGGGAGGGTGGAGGAAAGGTTAGATAATGGGTTGTTAAATTCAACTAGACAGGAGGAGTAAATTCTGACATTCTGCAGCACAACAATGTGACCACCATCCGTAACATTTGGTTTTATTTTATAGAGTACTAGGACAGGAGTTCCTAACACACACAGAATCGCAAATGCTCATGGAGACAGGAACTCTAATTAACCTGGCTTTATCAGTGTACATTATACATGCACAAACTATCCTGTCGTCATATGTCAAAATACCACACCATGTCCTCTCGATATGTGCAGTTATTACATGCCAATTGAAAATGAAGCCTGCAAGTCTGGGTCAGCAGGAGCAGTACACATGAACAAATCCAGGCACAACACACACACACACACACACACACACACACACACACACAGAGAGAGAGAGAGAGAGAGAATTAAACGAATTGTGTGATATTTTCTTTCAAACATTAAAACCAGGATATGCTCACGCCAGTTGCTATGAAAACAGGCATATGTGCACTGGCTGAGATACATGCTTAGAAAGCATACATTATAAACTGTAGGATAAATTGATAGTGGTTTTCCATTTTTTCTATAATTAAATGAAAATATTCTAAGCCAATCACTCAAACCCTTTTAAATCTACTCAAAGTATAGGTGTGAAGGAGCCCATGATCGCTGTTTCAGGCATGTTTGAAATGCTTGGCAAAGTTAATTGAACCATGCTTCTGTAATGCTTCTACAATAGTATATAGAGCGCAGCATGTTATGCTCCTCGAGTCTCCTGAAACGTTTGAAAATGAAAATGCCACGTCTCTTTCCTGAGAACTGACTCTAGAGGGAAGGGACCCACGTTTTAAGCAAGAGCACCTATATGCCGTAACGTTTAACGTGTAGATAAACATTTTCTTTCCACGTTCTTCGTTGTTAAAGGAGACTGAGCACACACATGCTTTAAGACAACGGTGCTGTGGAGAACTATAACGGGCTTTGTTACCGTTGCATGTGATGCATCACGGCCTCAGTAAAAAACGGGAGCTGCTTTAGCACGTTAGTTCTAGAATTTTATATACAGTGCTTGTTCTCCTCAGTTCTGTGGTTCTCTCTTGATGCATTAACATGTTGTCTGTGATTTTCCTAGAAGACATTTTATATCTTATGACGTTTTACAACTGAGGAAATTTGGTGTTTAAGGTAGAATGTAGCCACTCCTCCTCATCCAAAACCCGAGCCTACAGGGTTGTTAGAGAACGTGGTTTCTTCACATTACTTTTGACTCTAAAGCCCATTTATATAATGAATGTCAAATTTATTTCTAAAACTCTCTTTGAGAATGAAAGTGACCTTTTTCTCTGGCTCATATGGAATTTTATGGTGTGGAGAAATTACCTTGTGATTATTTTTTGCATGATTAAAATTTGCAAAGTTCTTATGGCTCCAAAGAGCCTACCTGTAATAAACAGCTTTCGCCTTCTAAACCACAAAACGGGTCTGAATTGCTTGAGCATTAGAGCTAATTGCCTGCCTACTTCAAAGGAAGAACTGAAAAGAGAGAGGGGAAGAGGAAAAAAAAATAAAACCTCACAGGAGCAGGGGCAGGGCAGAGGACTCCACCACTCAGGGCGCTGAGCTGTGGCTTGGAGAAGCCAGGCAAAGTTATGGCCTCAGAACTGCTGTTTGCCATTAAGTTGATGGGGAGCGTCTATCCCACAATCTTCCCCTGCTGTGGACACAGAGTCTTTGTTCACATTCAGATTTCTCAAACTGCTGCCAGGGTCAGGCTGAGGTCAGACACCACAGTGATGTATAGAAGAACATGTCTGGGAATTTCTCTCACACTTGAAACACATACCAGAAAAATGAAGAAGAGGTACTTACAAAAATCTGCCTGATGAGACCCAGATTATACTGTAGCCTGCTTTTTAGTGCCTTCATAATTTTTTTTTTCCTTTTCCTGACACACAATGTTTTATTAATGGGAGTTGCGATAGCCCTTACAATTTTGTGTCCCCTAGAGATAAGGCTGCTGGGTAGCACTCTGACACTTCATTTTCTAGCCCTGGGGGGAAGGTCCAGTAAATCTACTCAAAGAACTCTTGCATCCTTCCTCGGGATGAGTTGAAAAGTAATTGTCATGAGCCTGGCACTAGATACTCTGTCACGTGTGCATGTGGAGCTGGCAGAGACGCAGCCTAATCTGGTCATGATCTCAGCCTCCGTCTTCTTGAAGCCCCTCTCAGGGGCTGTACCCACAGCCTCGCTGGCTGCTGGGAGGAGAGACAGATGCCGGGGTGGGGGAGGATGTGGGAGGGCAATCACTGATTATCATCAATAGGGGAAAGCAATATAGTGCTACCAAACACTGAGGGTTTGTCTTCTTGAAGTGAAATTTCCAAGCATCTCTGCCCAAAGGGGCACCTTCCCAGACACTTAGATTGCTTTCCACAGTGCAAATCTGGAATAAATGCATTCATATTACCGCATCTTGGAGGACTCTCAATTGAACCCAATTCTTATTTGGAATGTATTAAATGTCCTGTTTTTCCTTTTTTGCTTACACAGTTGCAGAGCATGCCTGGAAACTGAACCACTAAATAGATTTTTTTTTTTTTTTGTCCTCAGCTGCTATATATGACAGTGGATATTTCATTCTGCTGCCAGAATGTTATTAATAAAACATGGGGTGTGGAGAGGGCCACGATTTCCCCTTTCAATCACTGTAGCATTTGCAATGAAAATTTTATTCAGTGTGTAATTTTCAGTGAATGCTTGACACTTGAAATGTCCGTAGCAGCATTTTGTATGGCTATTGAAGGGTTAATTGTATCATGTTCTCAGAATAAAAGCTCTGCTTATCAAAAGCAAATAGGAGAGTGTATGCAAATGTGTTCTGATGACCTTTTGCCTTTCCAGGGTTAATTTATATGGTCATTAACGGTTTTATGAATTTGTGCGGACTGGCGCTTCAAATCCCATTTTGCCTTCTTCTCCTAGTTTATGTAATTCCTACCTGAACTGGGGAATATGGCATTTATTTATTTATTTATTTTATTATTTATTTATTTTTTTGCACTGCTATGAAAGCAGCATGCCATGCTGTGGGGAGTTGTGAGCCTGGTTATCTGGCATTACTCAGATTGCTAAAAATTCATTAAAATGTGACATCGGCATACCCAGAGACAAATGATGGCAGGATGGAAGAGGGCAGTAGGCCTTTCACGGATTAGTGCCACACAACCCCACATAGAGGCTAACTGCGTAAACAGATTAATCCACCAGCAGCGGCATAGCGCGATTTACAGAATAATTAAGTAGGTTTGAGTTACTAGTAGGATTTCCATGTAATCTAGCGGGTGTGATCCTGTGAATGAGGTGTGGGGTGGCACAGTTGGCTTACGAGTACCTCCTTATGTCAGAGCTCTGTGGAGCTTTCCTCTACAGACAAATCCCCCAGGGGAACTGAAGTTCGGGTATCTCATAAGGAAATCGTAAGGAAGCCATCCAAGGTGTGCAATGTGAACCCAGGAAGAACCCCTGTCCATTCAAAATCGTAGTTGTCTTCTATCCATTCCTCCCACCCCGCCCCTCTTTTGCGGGCTAAACTATAGGAAAAAAATGGTCTGTTACCTTTTAATGGCATGTAAATGCTCTCCAAGTATTAAGATGCTCTACTTTTGAATGAAAACCTGCATTAGGGTGGTCTCAGTTTGTTCTAATGTACACTTCTGCCTCAATGTATAATTTCTGTTTTTTTAGTAGGAAGATGTGTAGACAACTCATAGAAAAATTCAAAAACAAACTGGATGGTAAAGGTCACCCAGTTGATAGTAGTGGACATTTCCGGGCTCATCAATTTTTCTCACTGATCTGCTTTCTTAGCAGAAGAGCAGAGTGAAGAGGCAGGAGGAGCCCTGAAGCCTACTTCAGTGACTGAGGATGATGAGACAGAAACGCAGAGAGACAATAGTGAAGGCAAAAGCTCTAATAAAGACCCTGGTAAGCGGCTAGCCTCCTTCCCTTTTCCATTCCCCTATACCCATCCATTCCCCAAAGCCAACCTTCCCTTCACTGCATCCCCCAATAAAGTGCATTAAATGCCTTTATTCATTTTAAACTGTCTGAACATTCCCACTACTATTCATGGTGTGTGCGTTTTGCATGTGATTTCTATCAGTAGCCTCCCATTGACCTATTTTTAATCATAACCATCTGACAGAATAGATGTGGATAAGATGAAGAATATTACAGGATGACTAGTGAGATTATTTTTTAATCAAATCAGTTTGTGTGCTTGTAATTTTTTAAGCGCCTTTCATTAATCTTAGCTATACTTGTGATTCCTCTGATGGCATATTAATTTTTCATAAGCTCAGGATTAGATATCACTTGAATTTTATCATTCAATCATATGCACCCTCTCATACTATGTAACCCTAAAAATAAATGCTCCTTTCTCTCTCTCTCTCTCTCTCTCTCTCTGTAGCTTACACTCAGGAATTTGCCCTTTTTAAGGGCATCTATTTGAGGCATTTCAAACGAAATCCAGTAGAAAAGTTTACAGATGATTCGGCCTAAGAAGGAGGAAATATCATTGAAAAGGGATTAGGTGCTGGGTAATTCTGATCTTCTAGAATACACAAATCCCAGTAATGGAAGCTACTGTCTTTGAAAACAAACCTTCGTGTCATGACATTTACTTGTGCACAAACAAACCCTAGGCCAGCATCTGGTGTGGATACCTACGGCTTTTTCTGTGTTTGATTTGGCAAATATATGGCTTCATCCATGCTTTGTATGTATGAGATGGAAATCTGTGGCCGCGATGAATATTACATTGGCCACTTTTGCTGCACGCTATACCTAGTTTTATTATGTTGGACTCGTTGAAGCAGAAGAAGTGCTGAAACGTGTTCAAGCCTATTAGTCTCAGGTAGTCATCTATCTTTTTCTTGAATTCCAGTGACAGCACATATAAAGCGCCTTGTGTTCAGTAGAAAGATACCGGAGTGCACAGAATTCATCATTTTTCTTTTCTTCTTTTTTTTTTTTTTTTTTTTTTTTTTTTTTGCATATGAGTTTGTTTAAATCTCAACTATCCCATAAGTCCTTATATGCCTAAATAATTTTCCTCCCCAAACTATTTAATACTAAATTTCTCACAGTTGTCCAATGAGAAAAGCATTGTTGTTATTTGCTTCTAGGATATAGTGTCAAGCATATGATTCTAATTTGATCTAAGCAAACAGGATCTCAGGTTAGTATCTTGCCTAAAGTGGAACCTCGGAAAAAGATGCTATAACAGCATAAGAGTAGGCAGGCTCCTGAGGCAAATGATACGGGATTTGTAGTACCTAATGTCAGCAATACATCCATCCAAGGAGATGCCATTTGAAAAGATAGCCAGTTTATGCCATCTAAGACAGACCTCACTGAGATGAGTAACTTGCTAGTTGGTGGGTGGTAGGATTCTCTTCATTTGGTGTTTGATGTGCTTGCGCCGGAAGACTACAAGGCATTTCTTCTTTGTTCGTCAGAGGAACATGCAACACAGAAAGATATGGCAGGGTTCGCTGGGTGTTCATACATGTAGAACCTGAAGGTTGTTATCGAACATCTATTTTCTAGGATGTTGGCAGGGATGGGCTGTGGGAGTACTTTTGAAAATGGATCCCATATTACTCTTGAGCATCACACGAGAGATGCGGAAGCTCTGTCTCCACAGTGCAATTTACTGCTCTGCATAAGTCCTGAGCTCAATTGCTCCCCAAAGGCCCAATGAGTTATTGTTCTTCTTTGAGTTTCTAATTGTACCATGTAGATAAGGATGGGCTATGTAGAAAGGCAGATCATTGAATAATGGCAGTTATTTAAAATAAATGTTATCCCTGCTTAAAAAAACAAAAAAAGCATCCCCAGGTATAAGCAAAGAGTTAAAAATGAGCTCTAAACAAGAGCCAACTTTTTAAAAGCAAATGTTGAGATGCAAATATTTAGCTCTGAAGCCTTGCAGCTTTTAAGGGAGCTCTTGTTACTTAAAACTAACATGAACTTTAAACAAGGTTCTGTGCTTTCTGAATTCAATCTTCCCAGGTTGAAAATGTATTCCATGATTGTTGTTCTTTGTAAAAGTGTATCTACTGATTAGGTAACCACTTATTTATATTCTTTTGTTCTTCTCCCACCTATAATTGTCAAAAGAGTAAGCATGAACTTACAAAGCAACTGCTGTGCTAGTCTGGTAGATGGGAAAATAGATTGACCCCACTTTAACCTTGAAATTTTTAGGCAAGAAGGAATTAGCACATGTCTGGAGCAGTGTGTTGGTAAGCTGCTGTGTTCTGTTGCTAATATTAATCTGCAGGACTACAGCTTTCAAAGTGAGACTTGGTAATATGCAAGTTATATTTGCTGAATATTCATTCATAATAGAAAAGCTTCCTAATACCTCATTTATATTGTCATTTAAATCTAGTGCCACTTTAGATTAATTATAATCCAAATTATAGCTCAGTGCAGTATGAGAATTAATATAGAGTTTATCCAGATTAATACATTTGCATTGAAAATGTAATATGTCTCTGCCATGGCTAAGGGGACCACTTTTTAATAAGGGAGTAAACATGAAGGAAGATGGAAATTAACCTTCATTATTGCAATTAAAATTATCCTTCCATTCTAGTCTCATTAGAAGAAATACTGTACTGGTAATTACAATTTTGAATTACTTGAGTTAAACAACATCTGTTACATATGAGTTTTAAAGTATTCAAACTTTATCAAATGTATTTATAAATATAATAACCCTGTATTTTGATTTATTATTTTTCAAGGTTCACTGTAACATGTGTGTTATTGGATTTTCCTGACTTGTTATAAATATAAACCATTTTATAGCCTTCTGTATTTTAGGGATTGAGAATTAAGTAGGCAGCATCTGAATTGAAATGAATTATGTCATTTTTATATTAGCAATCTCTTGCAAGTTAAATAATCTTGTGACTGACAGATAATCATTGGCTCATGTATTTGGCAGTACTTATTTGTAATTAGACTTCATTTTTTAGTTAAAATTCATTAAAATGACATTGTTCTTTGAGAATATTGTGGTGTCCTTAACGATACAAAATAAATTATGGTCTCATTTCAATTTTTTTTTTCTGCTCCAGGGTAACAAATAGGGTTTATTTCAAATGAAGTTGCAAATATAAACTATGAGTAATCACAAAACTTAATCAAAAGCTTTCCTAAAATTAATTGGCCTTACTTAATACAAGGCATTTTTTTCTAGCCTAACACAATTCAGATAAAAGACCTTGGATTTGATTTCCTATAATTTACCAGCTATGCTACAGTATTAAATATGCTATAAACAAACATAAAAGAATGTATGAAACGTTAGTGCATCACCTACCTAGGTCACCTTGGAAGATCTGCCTCACACTCTAGAATCTGTTTGTCTTGTAACTGAATCTGAAATTCTTGCCTTCTATTATTGTCAAGTGCCACTAAATTAATGAGTACTGATGAGCATAAAAATGAAAACAGTATATCACTTAACGTACACAGAGTTAATTATGCCAAACTTTTATACCAGGGAGTAGGTTTACTATAATGGCTTACACCTTCAAACCATACTATTTTTCCATCCTTTAAAGTATCCTTTATATATGTTGATGGAAATGAATTCATGGCTTAATATTTAGTGGAACTGGAACTATCTAGAAAGTTAATTTTACTTTTGATGTCCCAAGAGGCTTGCAAACAACAAATTATGGGAATTATTTTTCAACTTATGTGTGACAGTTGTGGTTGTACAGGGAATTTAGTCAAGTTATTATTTGATCTCGTCCATTAAAAAATATAAGGGAATATGACATGGTATTGCTCTCTGCAGGGAGCACTGTTACTCACTAATGGGAACTTTTAAAGAAAAGTCAATCAAGAACAGACAACTGATAGGCACTTGTTACTTAAAGTGACAATCATTTCTTTTACAACTTGGTCTGACATGTTGAATAGCTGATTGTATTGGCAAGTGTTATGTTACACATTGCTTTTCTTAAATGATTTAGGGCCTTAAATGAGACTGTACAGAGTACATGCTTTATCTGTTTGGAGAAATAAAAGACAAAATCTTGATTCCATAATTGTAAGAAAACATCCCAGTTTGGGGAATATTATTGGACATCAAATACTTGAACATTTTTAATCAATATAATGAGAGTTGTAAGATTCTTTTACAAATTTAACTTCACTCATCCACAAATGTTACCACTTTTCAAATAAAACACATTTAAAATTTCTCTAAGAGAATGTAGTAGGTACAATTTCAAACAGGAACAAGACAGCAGTATCCACTACAGTATGTGAGAGACTAACCATAACCATTATGCCACATTCACTACAAACACCAAAGAAATAAAACCACGTCCATCTTTTCAAGTATATACTATTTTAATTTCCTTCTCTTAAGAATTACTCTCATACATTTAATTTTCTTCCTGAATTCTAAGTTTCTGAAGCACTTATAGGGTCTAAAGGATTCATCTCTACCCAGGGTAGAAATAGAATGAGATTTTGGTTTTTGTTCTCTTTTTTACTTTCTCATTTTGACTTGTTTCTATAACATTGCTGACCTCGTTTTTAAATTAAAACTGGGTTATTTTGTAATAAGGTGCAATTTGTTCATTTATAGGAACCGTATGTGGATTGAAAAAAAAAATCAAGATAAGTCTTCATGTGCAGCATACAGGCAGATTGCCCTGGACTGTGTGTCTATGCGGGGTCTGATAGCAATCAATGCAGCTCCACTGCATCTCAAGATGTATTTGCACCCGGTTGTCCAGTGGTAGTATCTTCACCCTGGAAATAATTTAGTTGCAAATTGACTGGAAGATGGTGAAAATTGAAAGTTAAAATTAGAAATACTCATAATAAACAGCAGAAAAAAAGGTCAGATGATGCCGTGCTATGATGAGATTGGAATGGCTGGTAAATGAGGTTTTGTGTTTGTCGTGAGATGTATGTGACATGCCTACCCGATGTCGATGTAATATCCAGCCTCGAAGAGGAGATTACCAGGCAAATTGATGCTGGGGAGAATTTTCTGTGAGATTGGAAAATTAGAATTGTGCTCCCCCGCCCACCCCCTGCCCCTTTGATGTCTTGAGGTCCCTTCACATTAATACTGGCCAACTGGGCAAAATTTTAATCATCATTAACACAAATATTTGGATTAACCTCATAAAACAGTTGTCTTCTTGAGATTCCTGCTGTAACGTTATATGCCTAGTCAATCTTCTACAACCACTGTGTCACCTATTCAAGACACTAATCTTAGAAATGAATTAGATATTCAGTTTTAAAATATTAAAAACTCTAAATCCAATCATGGCGTAAACACATCATTGTTTTAGTTTCTGAATTAGAGCTCATCCAGCAACTCCTCTCAGGGTTTTGAAATCGCAGGACTTGTGAATTTAGAAAGGAGATAGGTCACTGTAAGTGGGGGAAAATTAACGATTTTCTAAGTCAGTATTTGTGTATGGGAGTAGATTTGCTTTAATGTGATAAAGGCATACCGAGACACCAGAGAACACATGTTATTGATGAAACTTTCAAGGCCATCTAGGGTTATCTAAACAGAAGTCAGGAGTACGGTTTCAGATAGATGTGCAAGGTCCACTCAGTGGACAGAAGGAAGAGCGCTTTTGGTGTTTTGAGATTAGCATCATCTAAAGTGCTTGTCTGGTTTTTTGCTCTTGTTTGATCTGGTAGATTGGGAGTCACAAGTGTTTTATTTACTCTGATTGTAACATTGCATTTACAAATTGAGTTGTTCTATCCTTTTTGGGAATTAGGAATAATCACCCCAGAGAAAGAGCTGAAAGTCAGTGTGGCAGGGGGCACACAGCCACTTCTGCTAGCCAAAGAAGAGGACGCAGGGACAAAGAGGTCAAAACCTACAGAGGACAACAAATTTTGTCACGAACAGGTGAATATGTGGTTTTCTCTTTGGTGCATGAATCGATTTTTTTGTTTGTTTGTTTGTTTCTAGGTTCCTAGCCTTTTTTGTACACTGTTGAAAAGCACATAGACATCACAAGTGACCCTAGCATTGCCTCTTGACGTTACAACTCACAGCCTGACGTTGTCAAAGCGTATCAGCTAATAATGGCCATGCTTATTCGATCTTTTCCAGTTCTACCAGTGTCCTTATTGCAACTACAATAGTAGGGACCAAAGTCGGATCCAGATGCATGTCCTGTCACAGCATTCTGTACAGCCAGTCATCTGCTGTCCCCTCTGCCAGGATGTCCTCAGCAACAAAATGCACCTCCAGCTGCATCTGACCCATTTGCACAGTGTGTCTCCAGACTGTGTGGAGAAACTGCTTATGACAGTAAGGATGCCAAAGGATGATGTGGGCCTGTGTTGTTATCAGTGTACACCTATAGTTATGGGTTCATAGAAACTCATCGCTTCTGAGCTGCTTGGAGACCTTTATTGTCTGTGCCAGAGAAATCACAGCAAGAGACCCATCTGAGGTCCTTCTTGCTTGGGAAAAAAAAATGATATGATACAGCGTACAGCTTAATTAAGGATATTTTGTGGTTCTTTTTGTAACAGTTAAATGACTCTTGTGGGTACCTTTAGCTTAAAAGTTTCTTGGTTATCCCCAGTCCTTCAAAAACATTTAGGTCATAGCATTAAAAGAAGAATATTGCACTATAATGATATTGAAGTGGTAGATGTCCCTGTTTGGGTTAGAAAAATGTAAGTGGAATATATATATATATATATATATATATATATATATATATATATCCGTACATGTATTCCAGTATACATATATATATATATATATATATATATACCCACAGAATATATTGTAGTGTGTGTGTGTATGTATATATATATAGATACACACACACACACACACACACACACATACAAAATGAATCCATGTATTTATTTATTTATTTATCCACTGGTTTCCAGAGCACATTTAACACAGTTCCCTTCGGTGTTCAAAGGTGCCTGTCCCTGATGTAATGATGCCAAACAGTTTGCTACTGCCAGCAGCTGCCCCTGAGAAATCAGATCGGGACCCACCTGCAGCCATGTCAGCAGAGGGTTCTGGAAAATATTCAGGTACGCATGCCTGTGATGATACCGCACGGAGGAAACTTTCAGAACTCGCCAGAAGCAGTGCCCCACAATTATCCTACTGAAGACAATTATCTATCTATCTTGGTTACAATGAATGCTCCGTTGACATCCCCCTGCTGTCTCTTCTCCGCCCCCAACTCTTCTTGTGCCCCCTCTGTGTCTTTAATTACTACTGTTTCACACACACACACACACACAGAACCCGCTGAGTCCTCTTAGCGCTGGCCATATGTACATGTGTTTAGAGCTGACTACTTGGAACTGGTATTTAACCACTAACCAGGGTGTTCCTTTTTGAAGAAAACTGGATCTCTCCGCAGTCATTAACTGTCTCTCCCCATCCAGGAGTAAGGAGACCTCCTTGTGAGACTCCCCCATCCTCAAAGACAGTTTTATTGGCACAAAGGAAATAACATGTGATGCTGCCCAGAGCCTTATTTTCTAAGACTTTTTTTTTTTTTTTTTTTGCCATGACAATTTCTACCCATCCTTAGAGAAGTCTAGTGACAGATGGCCAAGAACATTCTAAGTATTCTAATTCAAGAACACCAAGCTCATGGCCCTTGGTAAAGTGCTCATTGCAGTACACTACGATTACCTTTGCCTCGCATTCTTCTCTGGCCTTAAATTCCTACAGGTCATGAGTGATTTCCTATTCATCTATGGACACGGTGTCGTTTGTGAAAGCCCAGTCACAGGTCTGTACGTACTCAACTGAGCAGACATCATTACTGGCTCCCGGCTCCCCCTTACACTTCCTGACATTCAAGCGATCCATGTCCTTACTGTAAGATGTATTTTTCTTTCTCCTAACAGGTGAAAGCCCAGTGGATGACAAAAGTATAGCAGGTCTTGAGGATTCAAAGGGAGGTGTGGAAATAAAGAGTGAGGAGCAGAGACCAGCCAAGGAGCCCCTGGAGGCACCAGAAAGGAATAAAAACAGCAGTAAGGGTGTGAAAACCTCAGACACCCTGCAAGATCAACCGGGTGAACAACAAAAGAGGCAGCCCTTATCAGTTTCTGACCGCCATGTTTATAAGTATCGTTGTAATCACTGTAGCTTGGCTTTTAAAACTATGCAGAAGCTTCAGATACATTCCCAGTATCACGCAATCCGGGCCGCTACAATGTGTAACCTCTGCCAACGGAGTTTCCGTACATTCCAGGCTTTAAAAAAACACTTGGAAGCAGGCCACCCCGAACTGAGCGAAGCTGAACTCCAACAGCTATATGCCTCCTTGCCAATGAATGGAGAACTCTGGGCAGAGGGTGAAACGATGCCCCAGGATGACCATGGCCTAGATCAGGAGATGGAGAGAGAGTATGAGGTGGACCACGAAGGGAAGGCGAGTCCTGTAGGAAGTGACAGTAGCTCTATTCCCGATGACCTGGGCTCTGAACCAAAGCGGACCTTACCTTTTAGAAAAGGACCCAATTTTACAATGGAGAAATTCCTTGATCCATCTCGCCCTTATAAATGTACAGTGTGTAAAGAGTCGTTCACCCAAAAGAACATCCTCTTGGTCCATTATAATTCAGTGTCTCACTTGCATAAGTTGAAAAAGGTTCTGCAAGAAGCCTCCAGTCCTGTCCCGCAGGAAACCAACAGCAGCACAGACAACAAGCCCTACAAGTGTAGCATTTGCAGTGTTGCCTACAGCCAAAGCTCGACCTTGGAGATCCACATGAGGTCTGTGCTCCACCAGACAAAGGCCAGGGCTGCAAAGCTGGAGCCAAGTGGGCACCTAACAGGTGGGCACAGCATCACAACCAATGTGACCAGCCCCGGCCAAGGAATGTTAGAATCCATGAGCTTAGCTTCAGTCAACAGCAAAGATACCCACTTAGATGCCAAAGAATTAAGCAAAAAGCAAACCCCCGAATTAATTTCTGCTCAGCCTTCCCATCATCCACCGCCTCGGTCACCAGCACAAATCCAGATGCAACTTCAGCACGAGCTGCAGCAACAGGCGGCCTTCTTCCAGCCGCAGTTTCTCAACCCAGCCTTTCTGCCCCATTTTCCAATGACCCCAGAGGCGCTGCTCCAGTTCCAGCAACCACAGTTTCTCTTTCCCTTCTACATACCCGGGGCAGAGTTTAGCTTGGGGCCAGATCTGGGCTTACCCAGCTCTGCGGCCTTTGGGATGCCAGGTATGACAGGCATGGCCGGCTCCTTGCTTGAAGATCTGAAACAACAGATCCAAACCCAACATCACGTTGGCCAAACTCAGCTTCAGCTTCTCCAACAACAAGCACAGCAATACCAAGCTGCCCAGCCCCAGCTGCAGCCGCAAGGTCAGCAGCCGCCCCCACCGCAGCAGCCGCTACAACAGCCAGCAGGCAAATTGTTGAAACAAGAGCAAGGTAGCCTGGCAAGTACAGACTGCCAGCTCATGAAGGACGTGCCATCTTACAAGGAGGCGGAAGATGTGGCTGAAAAGCAGGAGAAACCAAAGCAAGAATTTACAAGCGATAGCGAAGGATTCAAAGACAGCAAGGACACAAAGAAGCAAAAGTCCTCAGAACCCTGTATTCCTCCACCCCGAATAGCCTCGGGGGCCAGGGGAAATGCAGCCAAAGCTTTACTGGAGAACTTCGGTTTTGAGTTGGTCATTCAGTACAATGAGAACAGGCAGAAGGTGCAGAGGAAGGGCAAAATCGGCGAAGGCGAAAACTCCGACAAGCTGGAATGCGGAACGTGTGGCAAATTGTTCTCGAATGTTCTTATTTTAAAGAGCCACCAAGAACATGTGCATGGGCAATTTTTCCCATACGGAGCACTAGAGAAATTTGCTCGCCAATACAGGGAGGCCTACGACAAGCTTTATCCAATTTCTCCTCCCTCCCCAGAAACGCCACCGCCTCCGCCTCCTCCTCCTCTGCCACCTGCACCCCCACAGCCTTCTACCCTGGGGCCAGTGAAAATCCCAAACACAGTCTCTGCTCCTCTGCAAGCTCCACCACCTACCCCTCCACCGCCTCCCCCTCCCCCTCCCCCACCGCCTCCTCCCCCTCCTCCCCCCACCGCACCCCCACAGGTCCAGCTGCCTGTTTCTCTTGATCTTCCCCTCTTCCCCTCCATCATGATGCAGCCAGTCCAGCACCCTGCACTTCCCCCTCAGCTCGCCCTGCAGCTGCCACAGATGGACACCCTCTCTGCAGATCTCACTCAGCTGTGCCAACAGCAGTTGGGGCTAGACCCCAGCTTTTTAAGGCACTCCCAATTCAAACGGCCACGGACACGGATTACAGACGATCAACTGAAAATCCTGAGAGCTTATTTCGACATCAATAATTCTCCAAGCGAAGAACAGATCCAAGAAATGGCAGAGAAGTCTGGCCTGTCTCAAAAAGTCATCAAGCACTGGTTTCGAAATACACTCTTTAAGGAGCGACAGAGAAACAAGGATTCTCCATACAACTTCAGCAACCCTCCTATAACCGTCTTAGAAGACATCCGAATTGAGCCACAACCCACATCTTTAGAACATTACAAATCAGATGCCTCGTTCAGCAAAAGGTCATCCAGAACACGGTTTACCGACTACCAGCTTAGGGTTCTGCAAGACTTTTTTGACACAAATGCTTACCCAAAAGATGATGAAATAGAACAGCTGTCTACTGTTCTCAACCTTCCCACTCGGGTTATCGTTGTGTGGTTCCAGAACGCTCGCCAGAAAGCACGGAAGAGCTATGAGAATCAAGCCGAAGCTAAAGATAACGAAAAAAGGGAACTTACCAATGAACGGTATGTTAGAACAAGCAACATGCAATACCAGTGTAAAAAGTGCAATGTGGTCTTTCCAAGGATCTTTGACTTGATCACACACCAGAAAAAGCAGTGTTATAAGGATGAAGATGACGATGCCCAAGATGAAAGTCAAACTGAAGACTCCATGGATGCCACTGACCAGGTGGTCTATAAGCATTGCACATCATCTGGCCAAACAGATTCATCCAAAAACACTGTGGCCCCCACAGCCAGTTCTGGCTCTGGGACTAGCACACCTCTGATTCCATCTCCCAAGCCAGAACCTGAGAAGAATTCCCCAAAGCCTGAATATCCTGCAGAAAAGATAAAGCAGAGCGAGCCCTCTCCTCCTTCCCAAGTCACCAAGGCAGCTCCCACAGCCATAGCAACATCTTCAGAGCCACAGCAGGCACCCGTATCCCAGCCTCCACCACAGCCACCCAAACAAACCCAACTGATTGGAAGACCTCCCTCTGCCTCTCAAACGCCAATCCCTTCTAGTCCACTGCAGATTTCCATGACTTCTCTTCCAAACACTCTACCTCCACAGTTACTGCAGTACCCGTGTGACCAATGCACCATTGCCTTCCCGACCCTGGAGCTCTGGAAGGAACACCAACACATGCACTTCCTCGCTGCTCAAAACCAATTCCTTCACTCGCCATTCTTGGAGAGGCCCATGGACATGCCCTACATGATATTTGACCCCAACAATCCACTGATGACCGGACAGCTGCTGGGGAGCTCTCTCACACAAATGCCACCACAGACCAGTACGTCCCACAGCACGGCCACGGCCAGTGTCGCTGCTTCCCTGAAAAGGAAACTGGACGACAAAGATGATAATAACTGCAGTGAGAAGGAGGGCGGGAACAGCGGCGAAGACCAACACCGTGACAAACGCCTGAGAACTACCATCACTCCGGAGCAGCTCGAAATACTCTACGAAAAGTACTTGCTGGATTCCAACCCCACCCGGAAAATGCTTGACCACATCGCACGAGAAGTAGGGCTTAAGAAGAGAGTGGTGCAGGTCTGGTTCCAGAACACGCGTGCCCGAGAGAGGAAAGGGCAGTTCCGGGCTGTGGGTCCTGCCCAGTCTCATAAACGGTGCCCGTTCTGCAGAGCTCTGTTCAAAGCAAAGTCAGCCTTAGAGAGCCACATTCGCTCTCGCCACTGGAATGAAGGGAAGCAGGCAGGGTACAGCTTGCCACCAAGCCCTTTAATATCCACAGAGGATGGGGGAGAGAGCCCACAGAAATACATTTATTTCGATTACCCATCCTTGCCATTAACTAAAATTGACCTATCTAGCGAGAACGAATTGGCCTCCACAGTGTCAACGCCTGTTAGTAAAACAGCAGAGCTGTCTCCCAAGAATCTCTTAAGTCCTTCTTCCTTCAAAGCCGAGTGTCCAGAGGATGTCGAGAATTTAAATGCCCCTTCAGCCGAGGCTGGGTATGATCAGAATAAAACTGACTTTGATGAGACGTCATCCATCAATACGGCCATCAGCGATGCCACCACAGGAGATGAGGGGGCAGCAGAAACGGAAAACCCGGGAGTACCTGGGGAGGTGAAACCAGCTTTGTCTCCCAAGGAAACCAAAACTCTCGACTCTCTGCCAAAACCAGCAACTACACCCACCACCGAGGTCTGTGATGACAAATTTCTCTTTTCTCTCACGAGTCCATCGATCCATTTCAGTGACAAAGATGGAGACCATGACCAAAGCTTTTACATCACCGACGACCCCGATGATAATGCTGACCGCAGCGAAACGTCAAGCATAGCTGACCCCAGCTCGCCAAACCCATTTGGGTCTAGCAACCCTTTTAAATCCAAAAGCAGTGACCGGCCGGGCCACAAGCGCTTCAGAACCCAGATGAGCAACCTTCAACTCAAGGTCCTCAAGGCTTGCTTCAGTGACTATCGGACTCCGACCATGCAGGAATGTGAAATGCTGGGCAGCGAGATCGGTCTGCCCAAACGCGTGGTGCAGGTGTGGTTTCAGAATGCCAGGGCAAAGGAAAAGAAGTTTAAAATTAACGTAGGAAAGCCGTTCATGATCAACCAAGGCGGGACGGAAGGCACCAAGCCAGAGTGTACCCTCTGCGGCGTGAAGTACTCTGCCCGCTTGTCCATCCGAGATCATATTTTCTCCAAACAGCACATTTCCAAAGTGAGGGAGACCGTGGGCAGCCAGCTGGACCGGGAGAAAGATTACCTAGCTCCCACCACCGTTCGCCAGCTAATGGCCCAGCAAGAGCTGGACCGTATAAAGAAAGCTTCCGATGTGCTGGGCCTAACCGTACAGCAGCCGGGCATCACAGACAACTGCTCTCTCCACGGCATCAGCTTGCCCGCAGCCTACCCGGGACTCCCCGGCCTGCCGCCAGTCATTCTTCCTGGGATGAATGGTCCTTCCTCCTTGCCCGGATTCCCACAAAATGCAAACAGTAAGTCTCTTACAACAAGGGAGCCAGTCGAGCTAATTAGGTGGCCATAGGCAGCCAATCACACGTAGGCAAGAAAGAAGGTGCATAGTTATGTGTCCTTTCAGAACTGAAATTTAATAATTTTATATATATATGTATGTATATATATATATATATACACACACACATACATACATACATATATATGTGTATATATATATATCATATAAACACACACACACACACACACACACACACACACACACACAAATTAGCCATAGTTGATGGCCAGGAAGTAGGTAATAAACCTGAACAAAACCTGGAAAAGCAGGAAATTAAGTGTAGCTGTTTCACAGCAGTTCTTAGAAATTTTACCATTTTTACCATTAAACTGTTCTCTCTTAGACGTATTAACTTGTTAATTTCAGTGCTATGTGTCATCGTGTTTGTTTTGAATGTTAAGACGGTGAGCCATTAAAATACATACTTACTGGTATTTTAATTTATTTTCTTTCTTGGGGGGCATGTTTTGTTTTGCTTTTCTTGGCTTTATTATTATTATTATTATTATTATTATTATTATTATTATTATTTTATTTATTTTTTTGTCTTTGTCTCCTGTTTGTTTTCCTGCCACTTAGATTCAAAATTAAGGTTCTTGAGTCACAGAAATCTACTCGTGTTACATCTCTCTAGTAATAAAGCTTATATTGAAATTTCATTGACTAAAAACTTGACGTAGGTGATCGTCCGCATGTTAGCATGTTATGAAATTTGATTCTTGTCACCACCATTGCTGCTGTTATATCAGTGAACTAGAAATCAAAGAAATCCGTACCACTTGATACCATTCTTTCCTCCCTCTCCTTAGTCAAGGTAGAACAAAATGGTAGACCTTCCCGAGGAAGCCTCAAAAACTGAATCCAGTTTCGTGTTCACAATAAGGGAATTTATGCAGATTTTTTGAATACAGCATGCCAGTAAGTCAGAAAATTAATATTCAGTCACTTATACATCATCACCTAAAATAAAAAGGCATAACTCTTTTATAACTTGATTTATTTTTAAATTTGACAGTGCTATTTTTTTTTAATCTTTTTGATTTGAAAAAAAAATTCTTTAAATCTATCACTTGGCAATTATATGTATTTTCAAAGTTTAAAAATATTACCAGGAAAACCTATTCTCATTTTTATGCAAGTTAGAGTTTTATTTTAATTTTAAAGTCTTCCAGTACCATTCTTCCCTAACAAAAGCCCAAATCGCCACAGTGATCTTTAACTGTCTTTCTTCTAACTTCTAACTGTAACATCCAATGTCCTTTCTGTCATTGGTGTGTGGTTAATTGCCCATTCAGAATGCCTGTTGGCTTTAGGTAGAAGTACCATGGTATCAGAGAAGCCTCTGCAATATGCCTTAGCTTCCCTTACCTGCCCACCAAGTCCTCTTCTCCCAAAGTTATTTCCTGCCTATTATCTGGATGTGCTTGGCACCTTAAAAATTACAGTTATAATGACACATTTTGGTTACATTGTAGTCCTACTTTATGTGACGTGGTGATTTTTGATTGACACATAAATGTATTACATCAAATAGAATTTAAAAAAAAAAAAACTAACTACTATGGTCAAAAAAACTGAAAGATCTACTTCGTATTTCGTATGCCAGTTTTGACTTATTGTGTCATGGGCTTATTTTCTCATTAGCGTTTTTCTTTCTCTCCACTGGATCAGAGGCCTTTGCTGGGACATAGGAACTTTCTGCCAAATGTCTGATACTGAATGTGCAGGGTCCATATGAAAGAAAAAGAGATATTTATGAAATTAAACTATTTTTCAGGCAAATTTACCATACTAAAAGTCATATCCTTTCCTTAAAATATATCCTATTTGTAAATATCAGGACTTTTAGGAATATGTTGGGGGCAGGTCCTCTATGGCTAAAAATATAGCTAAAACCTCCAGGTACCCAGGAACTTAGCACTTCATTTCTTGCTTTATTAAATTGTGGACAAAAACCAACCAGGGAGTGTTGTGAAGAGCCAAGTAGCATAAATAATGCTGCCTATGAGGAGAACCTGCAATTTCTCCTGAATTAGTTCTTTGTTTGTGAGGGATTTTAAACATTAGCATCAGAGGGCAATCAAGGGGGTTCCATCTGATAGCCCGAGTTCCCACACTTACAGTCTACATCTTCTGTAGGTTGATTTACCTTGTGTGGAATGCAGAGTATTTTAAACAAACAGCTCATGGAGTAAAGCTGTTGATTAGTCCACCTGTCCATTATTCTCCCTACTCATCAAGTGCATAGCTCTGTTTCATGGTGAAAAACGAACATCCCAGCAAATAATAACAAATGAAAATTCTTTCCAAGTAAAATGTGTCTGTGTTTCTTTTCCTGTAATCACTTTTATTGCATGTGGTGAAGGGTTCCACGAAGTCAATTTATTCAAGTATATCGTGTACATTGAACATATTCCCCCCATCCCTCAAACCCTCCTTCCTTCCCTTTCTCTTACCTCGCCAGACTCCCATTTTCTTTCATATTATGCACACATATATCTCAGTGTATGTATGTGTGTATGTGTGTATGAATGTATAGTCATGTGGCTCTACATAAAACCTATGATATAGTAATGAAAAAAGAAACATATTTGTCTTTCTGAGTCTGGCTTATTTTGCTTAAAATGATGACCTTGGCTGCTTTCATTTTCCAGGAAAACCCTTAATTTCATTCTTTTTAATGACTGAACAGAACTCAGTGTTGTGTGTGTGTGTGTATACATACATATATATCTATGTGTATGTATATATATGTATATAACATATATATATACATATGTAGTGTATTCTCTGTATTTGTTCATCTTTCACATCAAAGCTCCATTGAACTGCGCCTCGCCTCCGCCAGAATAGCAATTCTAAACAATAGTAACATCATTGCTGGCGAGAATAACAAGACCACCTTCATACAGACATTATGAGTGAGTGAGAGGGGTAACCTGTCTACACTGCTGGCAGGAATGTGAATGAGTGCAGACAATACGGAAATCATTGTGGAGGACTATCAAAAACCTCAAAGTAGATTCACTCCATGGCCTATCTATGCCACTACTAGATAAATCCCCAACAGACATGGTAGCCTAGCCTAGATACTCATAAACAGACTTGTAAGTTTATGGGTTCTTGTTATACTTCATTAAATGTGTGGCTACACACTGTAGAAATATGGCACTTTTACCTTGGACCTATCCTAACAAGATTTAGTTATGGAAAACTGAATTCGTTTTAAAAGGTCACAGCCTTTTGAAGAGTGATTTCGAAGCTTTTGATCTGAAAGTAATACTAAAATGTAGTCCAGTGAATGTGAGCCATTTGATGAATGAATGAATGACTTTGTCCCAAGGCTACACCTTCATATTTGGTTACCTACAAATACATGGAGTTCTACTTATCAACCTCCACGTTTTCAAATTTAGACATTTGTTTTCCTTTCAGTTTTATGGAGGGCAACTGTTATTCCCCAATAACCACTGAATTCCATTTCCTTTCATGCTAACTTCTACTAATTTGTTCTCTTTCTAACTGTAGTAGACGGCCTAACAAGGGCAGCACCTACTGTGTGTGCCCAGTTCCAGTAAAGGCTTTGTTCTTTATTTTTTTAAAAAATGAATTATTGTCAGTTTAAATTTTTTCACATCTTTATGTGTTGATGTTATGATGAAATGCAGAGCGAGAAAATGAAAATAGAATGTTACATGCTTAGTTATATAATAACCTGAAAAATATTAAAACCTTTAAACTTGCATTTTACTCTTTAGGCCATTGGTTTCACTTTGCCCAAAATGCTAGCAAAATTTCTTGACTTTCTGTTTTTAACTTATTTATCATTTTTGAGCAATGCCTGATTAAACATTCCATTAGTGTTTAGAAATACTAAGTAGCCCAGTTTCCTCCCAGTTTCCTTAACTGGACTTTCTTTCTTTAGTATTTTATTTTTGCAGCATTAAAGAAAGAACCCAGGGCATTATGTATAGCAAGCCCTCTAGCACTGATCCGGATCTTTAGCCTCTCAAATGGAAATTCAGAGCATACCTTTGCATTCTCCACATATTTATTTTAAATATACTTGCATATTTGGTGTATATCTAAGCAAGAGTAACACCAAAATAATGTTGACAAAATAATCTTTTGCCCCATATATTTAATTACTTTTAGCTTCTCCCTAAGTATAAAGACTAAATTTAAGCTCATTGTGAGGAGCTTTTCTGTTGTTGTTGCTTTGTGTTTGTTTGTTTGTTTGTTTTGAGACAGAGTTTCCATGGCTGTCCTAGAACTCTGTATTCAAGGCCTGCCTGGCACTCACAGAGATCTTAATGCTGGAATCAAAGGTGTGCACCACTACCCACTACCTACCAGTGAGGCATACATTATTATTTTTTTTTTAAAGAATGGCTAACAAGAACTTATAGACAATTATTTCAGGAAAACCAAAAGAAAATGATAATAGAATAAGACTATTCAAAGTGAACTTTTTAATCTCTCCAATGAAATTTCTAAAAATTATAGTAGGAAATGGAAAATAATGAAGAATCGATTGTTAGAACAGGACTGTAAAAATATAGCCCTTGGATTCTGGGTGTACTGAATTCTCGCTCCAGTTGGTCTTAGTTTTGAGCTACCAGAACTTACGCTGTATCTTGACTACTATTCAGTCTCCCTCCTATTTCTGTTGCTTTTGGCTTTTGGCTACTGATCTTTTGACTATAATCTTTTACACACATAGCACTTACTGGGAAATTTGCCACATTTAAATTGTGTCTGTGTTTTCTCAAATTTTTACTGAATGGACTGATTGAGTCAGCTTATTTATTAAGATATTAAATTCCTAAAACACATCGCTATCTCTGACCGTGCCCAGTAAGATTCCTCCAGCAGCTTTTTAAGATGTCCTTTTATTTCATTATGACCTATAGATTGGACCATGGGGATCCCATCTAGTGGGAAAGCTGGGGTTGATAAATTATTGATCCATCTATGGTCATAACTACAAGCTATTCATGTCTCCTTGGTTCTGGTGTTCTCATGTGAGAGAAGCTGTCAATCTAGTCATTTCCTCAGATTTAAGATGGGGAATTTCTAAGTGGAAGGAAGTGCAGTTGCTGTACAGGAGCATGTACCCTTGTGCTTGACCTCAAACCAAGAATGGCAGGTGAATGAGACACTGAGCTGGCCCCTGCTGTGTTATCACTGTAGCGACGTGAAGTCATCTCTTCCACCCCAAATCATGTCACCACCTGAATCACTCAACCTTGAAATTTTGCAGTTAGATGTTAACATATTATGGACTGTTGGAGAATATAAACAGCAGAGAATATCAAGGAACTAAGACAACAGAAGAGAAATGAATATCAAAAATGACCCAAACCTGGGCATGCACAACGGTACAGCCCATGCCTGCCATGCTTAGGGCCTTGGGTTTGATTCCCTGTACCATACGACAAACATAACTTGGTATAAAATAGAACCTTTTCAGTTCTTGCATGGCTTGCTCATTGTAAAAGGAAATCAATAAATAAGAAATTCAGAAGAACAAGAAGATATCAGAGATAATGTAGTAAGTCAAGGGAGAAGGACTTCACCTCCAACAGCAATTTAGTTTCTTTACTTAGTGATGCCATAGCAATTTGGCTTAAGGAACAGAGAATGAGAAGTTCCCCCACCCAGTCCCATCTCCCTGCTACAAAGCTTAGTCCATTTTCATTGTAAATTCATTTTGAATGAATGAGCCAGTCTTCAGTAGAATCTGGGCACTTCATATCACTTGATGCCAGTTATTTTCAAGGAATTAAAAAATATTTAAAGAATTAAATCTTGGGTGACCAGAAGATAAGCCTTTTGAATGGCAGCTGTAAAATCCAATCTCTCCTGACTCTAGAAGTGAAGCATTTCATACCTTATTAATAAAGTTACAATGTTCAGTGTGTATCTTTCCAAACCATCAAGGATACTAGAAGGCTTTTCTTCTTTGTTTGTTTTTGTTTTTTAAGACAGGGTTTCTCTGTGTAGCTTTGGAGCCTGTCCTGGAACTAGCTCTGTAGACCAGGCTGGCCTTAAATTCAGAGATCCGCCTGACTGCCTCCTGAGTGCTGGGATTAAAGGTGTGTGCCATCCATGCCTTCTGGATAGGAGGCTGCCTTTTAATATGATGGAAGCTCCTTAGAGATGATCATGGTCATGACTGCAGAAACTGTTTGCAAGCAGGTCCGAGAGGGAATGGGTATGGCAAGGTAAAAGTGAGAAACCTCCAAGACTAAGTGAGACTAAAATGGTATGATTGTGAGAAGGATCAAAGAGAGAGCGATGCTCATCAATCACACCACCACACAGAGAGAAGGGGAGGGGGAGAGAGGGAGGGAGAGAGAGACCAAAATCACAGATCCCCTATGTCCTCATATGATACGCTATATGGTTTGTATTCAACTGTGTAACCCTCATCCTTAAATTATCCCAGAATTACCTGTAGTCAATAGTACAATGCAAATACTTCACAAATAGTTTTGATATTGTGTTGTTTAAGGGGAAGTCACAGAACAATGAAATCTACACAGGTTATTACAGATGTATCTAGAAAAGTATGTTTGATGCATGTTTGGTTGAATCCCTGGCATTGGAGCCAGAGTGTGTAACTGAATGGGAAACATGTAAAAACATTCTTGGCCAGTTAACTACAAGCAAAGAAACTAGTTTATTTTTTGCTGATGAACAGAAATGAGAAATTTCTTGTGCACATTTGTCCACCTTATTTCCCAACAGCTACATATTGCATTTGAGCTGGGGGGTAGGACTATGCCCCCTAGTAACAAGATAATTCTAGATCTTAGTGCCGCTGCCTGTGCAGCTATGCATTGTTAACTGCATTTTTCTTCACGATGGATTGATTCTCTCAGATCATGGAGATCCAGCACAATCCTTGCCCTGCCCCCTTGCTGAGCTTTCTTGGTTCAAGCACAAAGTACCAAGCCCCCCTTGAAGATTCTGACGATTCCTTCCACAGTCACCATCATTCACTTTTTAAAAAACACGTTCTGGAAAAAGGACAGGCTTTTCCAATCCCCTTTCAACCTCCAGCTCCCCTTCAGTCCCCGATGGCTATCTGTCTGGTAAGGAATCTGGTACAGCTTTGTCCTAAGTAGATACTACCCCAAGTCCCGGTGAAATCCACTGCACGTCCATCCTATGTGAGTCTATGTGAGTGCATACTAGGTAGACAGAGGGTTTTCATGTTAGCTACGTAAGAAAAAAAAAAAAAAAAAACGGTTAAAACGAGTCAGAACAGCCATCTCCTGCCTCCTTTAGCAGTTGCCATTGTTGTTTACCATGATGCCTTTCTGTTACATTATATGGGAACTTTTTTATATTCTGAATGAAATGCTGATAAAGTGTGCAGTCCATCTTGATGTCCCCGTTCTGTTTAGGTGTTAAGCGTGCAGGATTTTGGTGTTGTTCATGAACTGACCTTGGACATCTCTCTGTTGTTTTCAGCCTTAACACCTCCCGGCGCAGGCATGCTTGGGTTTCCTAGTTCAGCTACTTCGTCTCCTGCCCTGTCTCTTGGCAGTGCCCCCAACAAATCTTTGCTGCAGACTCCACCACCACCGCCACCGCCACCGCCACCTCCTCCTCCTCCATCCTCTCTGTCAGGACAGCAGACCGAGCCACAGAACAAAGAAGCCGAGAAAAAACAAACTAAGCCAAACAAGGTCAAAAAAATCAAAGAGGAGGAATCGGAGGCCATTAAACCCGAAAAGCATCCTAAAAAAGAGGAAAAAATCTCATCTGCTCTTTCAGTGTTGGGCAAAGTGGTAGGGGAAACACACATGGACCCTACTCAGTTGCAGGCTTTGCAGAATGCCATTGCTGGCGACCCAGCATCCTTTATAGGAGGACAGTTCTTGCCATACTTTATCCCCGGGTTTGCTTCCTATTTGACGCCCCAGCTCCCCGGAACAGTGCAAGGAGGCTACTTGCCGCCAGTGTGTGGCGTGGAGAGTCTCTTTCCCTACGGTCCCGCCGTGCCTCAGACGCTGGCGGGCCTGTCCCCAGGGGCGCTGCTGCAGCAGTACCAACAGTATCAGCAGAGCCTGCAGGACTCTCTGCAGAAACAGCAGAAGCAACAGCAAGAACAGCAGCAGAAGCCAGTCCCTGCCAAGACAGCCAAAGGCGAGGGCGACCAGCAGCCGGGCCCCGTGGAGGCTTCGGAAGCGAAGGAAGAAAGGAGTACTGGCCCCGAAAGCACAAAAGAGCCCCAGTTAGAGTCCAAAAGCGCAGAGTTCTCAGACACTTACGTTGTTCCATTCGTCAAGTATGAGTTTATATGCAGAAAGTGCCAGATGATGTTTACTGACGAAGACGCTGCAGTAAACCATCAGAAGTCCTTCTGTTACTTCGGTCAGCCTTTGATCGACCCTCAAGAGACAGTGCTTCGCGTCCCAGTCAGCAAGTATCAGTGTCTTGCCTGTGACCTGGCTCTCAGTGGGAATGAAGCACTTAGCCAACACCTCCAGTCAAGCTTGCACAAAGAGAAAACAATCAAACAAGTAATGAGAAATGCCAAAGAGCATGTTAGATTATTACCTCACTCAGTCTGCTCCCCTCCTAACACCACATCTACCTCGCCGTCTGCAGCTTCTTCTAATAACACCTACCCTCATCTCTCTTGCTTCTCCATGAAGTCCTGGCCTAATATTCTTTTCCAAGCATCCGCCAGGAAAGCTGCTCCTTCCCCCTCTTCTCCTCCCTCCCTCTCCTTGCCTTCAACGGTTACCTCAAGTTTGTGCAGCACCTCAGGGGTTCAAACCTCACTACCCACAGAAAGTTGTTCAGATGAGTCTGACAGTGAGCTGAGCCAGAAGCTACAAGACTTAGATAATTCTTTGGAAGTAAAGGCTAAGCCTGCTTCTGGCCTAGATGGTAATTTCAATAGTGTCCGAATGGATATGTTCAGTGTGTAGGAGTGAAGACAGGATCCCGTGCTTAAAATTAAAAAAAAAAAAAAATTAAAAAAAAATTAAAAATAAAAAAAAAATAAATAAGACTTTAACTGCAGTTCCAAAGCTTCTCTAACCCAAAAAATTACAGTACCAAATGATTGACTCAGGATTGTTTTTCCCATATTGATATGCTGGCAATATAGGATGGTATGTGATGAAGAGAACTGACGTAGACGGTCGGACGGACGCGCTTGTAATATATGCTAAAATGTGGAAAAGGAGGAAAAAAAAATAACAATCTCACAAGTTCTTCTGGAACTTGTTTCAAGCCAAAAAACTCTCAAGAAAGAAAATTGCACCTCAGCTGGATTGATTTGCAAATGCCAGCCGGATTGCATGGGAGGACCATCCAGATGTTTTCAAAGAGAGCTTCTCTGAGTTTAGTTAGGTGTGATTCAGTAGCTTTAAATTCTCAGGTCAGAACATAACATTTCTCATTTGTTAAAAAGCAGCAAGAAGCCTGGTAAAACTGTGACTTTTCCCCAAATGTCAATCTTTATTAGAAAGCATTTTCTAGGTGTGTTTAGTGTGCAAAGAGACTCTACGCCCCTCACCGGACACCACCCAGCTCACTGAGCTCACGTTGCAGGATAGTACAGTTTTACCACAGAGGGACTGGACTCACACGTCTGCCCTGTGCATTGCAGTTTGTGTTGCCACAGGCTATATTTATACCAGTGTCATCCCTTTCTTGTAGGATATACTAATAATCTGTGCCAACTATACCTTCTCACTTTTACCTCTGACGTCATTCTTTCTTTTTTGTTTTGTTTTGTTTTTCTTTTGTTTTCTCAAAGAGGTAATAATTCTAGTTTTGATAGACTCTGAGGATCATGTGAACGGGACATTTTTCATTTGTGAATTTAATGCTATATTGTCAAGGTACTTGCTTGTGTCTGAACTCTAGTGCACTTATGATTTTGTAGACCACGTGGAATTTAATAAGATGCTTCTCCCCACCCTCTCCTCTCCTTGTGTGTAGTGCAGCAACAGTTTGGTCTGCATTTGTTAGAAGTTTAACTCCTAACAACCCAAAGACCTATTTATCAATTGGTGCATAAATGAAAGTAGGTACTGTATACTTGAAACTGTTTAAGTACAAGTTGAACACAAATTATGAAAAGGTATATTTGCTTCTCGGGAAAGCAAAGAAGCTGCTTTAAAAAAAAATAATTAAAAGGGGACTAAAAATTTGTTTTGTATAAAGAGGTTAGCCCTGCGCACGTAGGACTGAATTCAGTGATAACCCTATACACTGCCATTTAGTGGATAGGTTACTATACTTCCATTCATACTTTGGGCACTTGTGTTATATTGTTCTGTTATACACATTTTTGTTTAACCTGTTTTGTTTTTTTATCATATATGCATTAAAAGTATTATCTTTATCAACATTTGCTGCTATTGTGTTAACACTTTTGTTTTGCTTGCCGTGAATTCCCACCTGTACCAACCTTTCGCTATGCTTTTCCCGTTTTTTTTTTTTTTTTTTTTTTTTTGTTTTGTTTTGTTTTGTTTTGTTTTCTGTTGCTGTGGAACTTTAAAGAATGTGAAAGCTGTCAAAGGGTATTTGACGAATCACATTTGTGTTTGGTATAGTAAGACAATGTGATTCATTCCAAAGTAACAGAAGGCTATCTGTAAGAAAGTGAAAGGCTTGTGAACAAAGGGAGCTAAGCTGTTGTACATATTGTAGTTGGCTGTGCATGGTACAAATTTATTAATATGAAGAAATGCAAAATGTGTTGCTTTTGATATTCCTATTCTGAGGTGAGCAAGTAGCATGTGATGCAACTGTTTGACAGTTTAACTCAGATCATGCTTCAAACTGTTTTAATGATCACATCTGTTCATTCCCTCTTCTTGTACAGGTTTTGTTCGGCTAATGATCACAGCAATCTTTATACATTTTTATGTGAACTTTTTAATGTCCTTGATTTGGATTTTGTTGTTGTTGTTGTTGTTGTTCGGTACTTTATCATTTATTTGAATCCTGAAGACACTTTTTTGATTGTGTTTCGTAAGAGACAACATGGCCTCCTAAGGTGCAATCCTGCCACTATAGTGAGCTAATGTCCTGAATCCAAAGGCTTCAGAAAATTGTTTTTGCCTTTTTCATGAATGTTAAGCAGCCGCATTGTGAGATCGATCTGTCCTGGCAGTTAACACGGTGTGCAACAGTGTGTTAGCATGGAACAGAACGCCTCTCACAAAACAAAGGACCGTTTTACAAAGGATGATTCCGACAGTGTGTCGACATAAACTTTTACAACTGCACAGCAGCCAAAAAAAAAAAAAAAAAAAAGAAAAAAAAAGAAAAAAAAAACTTTAACTGGATGGACATTGTTAGGGTGAGAAATAAAAGGACAGCCTCCAAAGGTTGAGAACAAGAATTGTTTTTTTCCTGGATATCAAAGGGATTATCACAGCGTAATCATTGTCTCCAACAATGTGTACTCTCAACGCCTGGGTTACATAGGAAGCGCACCCTGAGGTTTTAATAAAGCCCCTATGGCTATAACTTTAAATAAACTAAACCAAAAATGTTATTGATGTTTTATATAGAGAGAGTAGGATCATTAGTTTTTGTTACTGTAATGTTTGAAGTCTCAAATGCACCGTATTACGGTAATAACATGGTTTTGAAAAACTTTTCTTTTTTAATTTGTCACAGACCTGTTGACATAGTTGAAACGATGTTTATTGTAGATGGTATTTGAACTTATTCTTCTGGAAATAGTTCATCAAGTATGTTTGTTGCTCATTGTGATACATTAAAAACTGTATCTGCATATTTACTCTGCCTCTTCTTTCTGAGTGGGCGTTGCAGTGTCTACACAAGGCCTTACAAGCAAGCACTCCAGATGGAGGCTGACATGGTGACACGGTAGAACCTGCTTGAGCCTTTGAAGCTCCAGATTCCTCTCACAGAGCATCTGTGCAAATCAGCCGGGAAGCAAGTCAGTGCAATAGACAAGTGATTGAAAAGGGCAAATAGCAGCGCAAAAAAAAAAAAAAAAAAAAATGAGCATATCATATAAGGAATGATGTTCTTTTCTCTAAGGCAAGCTTTCACTATGTAGTCCTGGCTGCCCTGAAATTCACCCACCTGACTCTGCTTCCCAAGAGCTGGAATTTAGAGATGTGCTGTGTTGTGTCATGCCTGGCTAATCTGGGACCTAATTCTGTGATTTTAACAGCCATACTCACATTTCTCAGTAGCATTTCCCCCGTGCCTATGAGAGGTATGCCTTCTTAGACCTGTCATGTATGAAAATCTGGAGAATAGATTCTGACAAATGAAACTGCTACGCTCCCACGGCCAGAGTACCGAGCTGGCAGTGGGTGTCGGGATTGAAACACTTAACAGACCACCACGAGAAGTGAAGAGGAAGCTGCTGCCCTTTATTACAGAGAGTAATGGGCTTATATACCCAAGCCACTGGGTGGGCTAGGCATAGGAGGAAATCATGCACCACCACCCACACCTGTGGTCAAGGCATGGGCCGCACACCGGAAAGCTATGAGAGCAACCTTGTTTGATCAACCTTGAGAGCACTGGAGTTCTACAGCTGGGTGGGGAGGAAGAGAGCTGTAAGGGACAAGGACTTAAATTTCCCAACATGAAACAATTTCATTTCAGAGTTCATTAACCTATTTCCTTTGGTACCACCCCTGGAATCTCAACACCTGTCTGTTGCTTTTTTAACTCCAGAGCAGACGTTCAAAAAGAGCAGATGTTTAAAAAGAAATATTAAATGCAAACTCCCTACATACACACCTCACTTTATCTGACACACTGCTGAAGAAGGAATGAGGTGTCCAATGTGCGTATTGTTACCACGGCCCGCCCTTGACATTGACCTTGGAGGACTGAATTCACTGCGTAGATTTTCCCGACAACTGTCAGAGCTGACGGTGGCAGAAAGGGCCGAGCTTTGTTCACGGTTGTCTTTTCTCCGCAGCCAGTTCTAGTGACGTTGGGAAAGACCCCGCAGAGACAATCTTTTAGACTAGGGTACAGAAAGGACGGAAAAGGAAATGTGGTTGGTTGTCCATTTCCTTCCCTGTGCTGTGGGCTTCAGTATTCTTTGGTGTATTTTCTGTTAAGTCACTAGAAGTGAACCAAACCTACTCTGCTCTGTGAGGCATCTCATAACCATTTTCCTTTGGCAGCAATGAATGGTAAAACTAGACAGGAGCTTCTGTGCTGAGCTCAAATATTCAAAAGGAAAAAAAAAAAAAATAAAAAAAAAAAAAAAAAAAAAAACCCATAGATCTTGTTCAGTTGGAGGCCAAGTTCAGGTCCCTGTTCTGTTAAAAACAAACATTTTGATCTTGCCTCCATCCCTAGTGATCACTTGTCCACATTAAAAAAGTGAAATGCTACACTTGACTTAAAAAAAAAAAAAAAAACACCAGAAGCCCAGAGAGTCATGTTATGGGTGTTGACTGAACTGAGGCAAAGTCTCAACTTAGCAACCCACTGTTCCTGGCGGGGTTCCCTGAGCCTTGCATTCATTGTGGTTTATTTCATTGCCTATGTGTGTGTTCACTAGTCATTTACTGGACCAGAAAACAGTGTATGCATTACCCTAGGGATGCTAACATGTCATACGGTAGATATTTGAGAGAGAGAGAGAGAGAGAGAGAGAGAGAGAGAGAGAGAGAGAGAGAGAGAAAGAGAAAGAGAGGGGGAAGAAAGCTCCAAATGGCCTAGGAGCTGTAGACAACAAGCCTCAGAGTGTCCCTAATCCATGCTCAACACTGCTTTATGGGTGCTATTTCCTTATGGCAATCTGTAAAGTAGGTGATATGAGCCCTTCCCTATTCACGGGCAGGCTATGGAAGGTGAATACTCTCCAATGGATACACTATGATAGAATGTGCCAAGTCTATCTAAACCCAACCCAATAACTCCTTAGCTGTCTTCTCCATTTTAAAGAGTGACCTGTTTTATGATGATGCTACCTCTTCATACATGAAGAGCTTGAACATGGTTTTGAATTCT